AGATAGATAGATAGATAGATAGATAGATAGATAGATAGATAGATAGAATGATAGAATGATAGATAGAATGATAGATAGAATGATAGATAGAATGATGGAATGATGGATAGAATGATAGATAGAATAATAGATAGATAGAATAATAGATAGATAGAATGATAGAATGATAGATAGAATGATAGAATGATAGAATGATGGAATGATGGAATGATGGAATGATAGATAGAATGATAGATAGAATGATAGATAGAATGATAGAGTGATGGAATGATAGAATGATAGATAGATAGATAGAATGATAGATAGAATAATAGATAGATAGAATGATGGAATGATAGATGGACAGATGGATGAACCTGGTTGAACCCAGTAGCTCGTGCTGCAGAGTTTGAGCAACTGATGTGACCCCCCCCTCCCCACCCCCACAACCCGCCCAAACCTAGAGCCCCATCTGAGCGCTTGAAGCGGCACCGCACCGCACCGCACCGCACCGCGTCCCTCTGCATACAGCTCACGCGTTAGAACCCTCCGGTGTCACCGGGCGCGGAGCTGCGGTCAGAAAATGGGTGAGGCTTTGGTACCCCCCCTCCCCCCTCCCTCCTTACAGCGCGTGGAGCGGCAGGACACGCGGAAAACTGGGCTGATAAAGCGACATCACGATTCATCCATCTCGCCGCGTATCGATCCTTCAGCCGCCACCGCACCGCCACCGCACCGGGGCTGCGGCTCACACACTCACGCGCGGCTCTATCAGGGAGGAGGCGCGTGCGGCTGCAGGATGCGGCCTCGGAAAAAAATCACTGCATTTCGGTTCCTCATCCTCCTCATCCTCCTCCTCATCCTCCTCATCCTCATCCTCTCCATCAGGTCATCAGGCACGCATGCACGGACACATTAGCATGGATGGGGGCGTTTTTATTTTTTTACTTCATCTGAAAACGTGCGCGGGGCCTCTGCGTCTCAAAGCTCCGCGCGGTCACCGGCGCTGCCCGCACCACAAACCCAGCACCCCCCCCCCCCACAGGCGGAGCAGGTGTGAGCCTCATTTCAGCTCCGCAGCATCACTCTGCATTCACAGCATGAGGGGCCGCAGCACCGCTTCACACTCCTCCGCACAGGAGCTACTTTCTGCACAAATATGCTTTCACTGCTATCAGCTGGTCTGCGCACCGCACCGCACCGCACCGCACAGCACCGCACAGCGCCGCACCGCACCGCACAGCGCCGCTCTCCTCCGGTGCAGGAGAGGCCGGGGGGGTGGGGGTTAAAGATGGAGGCCAACATGTAACATGAAAAGAGAAAATCTTACACTTCGCAGTTCCGCCGTACGGTCCTTCATGGTGTCGCCGCGCCGCGCTGCAGAATCGGCCCTGGTCCGGGAGGGGAGGGGGGGGAGGTTTCCTACACCACGTCCTTCGTCGTTTTGGGTCCGAGGTTCGTCACGGTTCTTCCTCCGCTCCTCTTCTTCTTCACTCGTTCACTGATGAGGAGGAAGAGCGCGATGACGCGTCTCCGCCTCTGCTGCTGCTCAGCTCGTTTTATCCGCGCGGTGACGGCGCGTAAAAACCCTCCTCTTCCTCTTCCTCTTCCTCTTCTTCTTTAATTGATGAGATTATTCTGTAGTTTCTTTATCGCGTCTCTCTGCCGCTCTGGATCTTGTCGCTCCGCGGCTTCCTCCTCTTCCTCCTCTGTGGTCGCAGTGTGGCCCCGCAGCGAGAGAGAGAGAGGGGGGGGGGGGGTTCAGAGAGAGACAGAGAGAGAGAGTGGGGGAGGTAGAGAGATGAGGGAGGGGAGGGGGAGTGTGGTACTGATGCTGCAGAAAAAGAGAGGAGGAGGGAGGGGGGGCGATGCGGAGGGTATATAGAGGCAGTGCGCAGGCGCGTCATCCCTCCTCCCCCCTCCCTCTCCCTCCATCTATACCTGCTGCCCCCCCCTCTCTCTGCAGCAGGGGTGGTGGGGGGGGGTGTTTGGTTTCAGGTGAATAGGGATGAGGGGGGTGTTGGGGTTTGGACAATCTGTTCAATCTGTCCTTATATGGTGAGGAGGGGGAGGAGGGGGAGGAGGGCTAATATAACCTCACATGAAATAAAACCAAATATTTGAATTATCATGAAACTGTAATAATATGTGTTATCTTTGTTTATCTTTTCTTATATAAACATATTTAACCTATTTAAATCACTTGATAAAATTTTTTTGAATATCATCATCGTTTACGCTCGATGACGCTGAAGAAATGAACTAATTCGTCAGCCACTAGAGGGCGAAGAGGAGCTGGAGTTTGTCAAGTGTCCAACATGACCACAAAGAGACACAACACAACCACAAGACATGTTAGCACCGCATGTGACCACCGCCTGTACAAACATGGAGGAGACAGAGCTTATAGCCTACACTGCAGCCAGCCACCAGGGGGGGATCAAGTCTTTTTGGCTTCACTTCAGAAACCCGTCACATCGTCCATCTTCATTTCTTTTTTAAGGTTGACCCATCTAACACTTAGAGCTGTGCCTTTAATTTGAAAGCATGTAGCCGACTTCCTGTTGGTGTGTGTTACTAATATATTTGTGGGGACCCTACAGAGCAAGGTGGCAACTTTTTTCTATTAAGGGCCATTTCAATATATAAGATAAATAGATAAATTATATTACTGTCATAATTTTAAAACCATTTTAAACCACTGATGTAATAATAATCTGAAGTTCTCCCTTTAAAGAGCAATGAGCTGAATTGTAAAGAACATCAATGTGACATTTGAATTAGAAATATTAAAATATCCTTGATGAATAAAACATAAACAAAATCGACAAACAACCGAGAGAGAAGCAGAGCAGAGAATTTAATATGGAGGTTTAATGGTGGAGATGAACTGTGGAAACCCTGAAAGGTAAAAAAGCCAGGGTCATTTTTTATTTGTAGAAAATAAATTCACCTTCCAGGGAAGTACAAAGAGTTTAGAGCTTCCATACATGTGTGATGTGTGAATATTCAGTAAGAAAAATCTGGTTCAAGTTCAATAAACACTAGATTTTGTTCAAACAAAGAAAAAAGAGCAAACTTGTCTTTTAACAGATGTCGTTTTTCCTCCCAAACAAACATTTCAAAAGAAATTTACACCCCATAGCTTGGCGAGGCGGCGTACTGCTCACACAGCGACCCCTGGAGGCTGGGAGCACACACTGCAGAAAATCTGATGAACAGCGAGCCGTGCTTCAACTTGAAGCGTTTGACGACGTTGCAACCGCTAGAGGGGATGACGGTCACCTTCCCCAGGAGGTCGTCATTCCAACCATTGTCTCGGTCCCAGACCTCAAAAACCACAGGTCTGTGCAGGAAACACGTGAACCATGTGAGACCTTTATCAGACTGTATCATGACATTTTATTATTGCACATCAGAGTCAATGAGATTAGTTTAGATTTGAGACTCACACTCGGTGGTGTAGGTTAACGGTTTGAAACCTAATGAGGTAGTTCCACTGGGGGAAGTCGTTGTTCCAGATCACCGGTGTTGTGGCTCCTTGCTTACCGTAGAACACTTTAACGTATCCGTCCGTCTTGCTGAAGTAGTCACCCCACAGCCCCTCGGCTCGGACCACCGTCACATTCAGCCGGGCCACGCCTTTCTCTGCGGGGCAGCAATTGGAGTCGACCATGCGGTGTCCTTGGCAGTGACAGGCACAGTTCTTGTTCTGTTTGCCGACCTTGCAGCCGGCGGGGCAGCTCAGCTTCTTTGCACTTTTGCGGATGTAGTTGCTGATGGCATCTCGGAGGCTGGACTTCAGTGTGGGGTTATCTGACACCTACAGAGCAGAGACAATATGTTTATGATGTAAGGACAAAACTGTAATTAATATGTTTCTCAACATAATTTGCTCCTCACCAGCAGGTGCAGGGGACTTATCTTGTACGACACCACACCTGGGACCCTCCTAAGGGAAGAGAGCCACTTCTTGTAGCCTGCGGCTCCATTGGGGGTGAACAGGATGTCCCCCACATCCCCATCTCCTCCCAAAACCTCTGTGGTCCGGTCAGAGAAGGCCTGACTGAATGTTGCACCGGTTTTAAGACTCTTGCTCTTTTTTTTGCAGAACTCTGTGCTGGCTTTGGCAGTGATGCCCTTTATGGTTCCACTGGCCTCGACTGACAGACAGTTGCTGATTGCGTGGACAGACATCTTGCTCATGGAGGCCTCGCAAGTCCGGATGGCTGTGATGGAGTGCACTCGACCCCCCAGGTGAACCCTGCGGATGAAGTGGGTCCCGTAGACAGAGATGAACTGCTGGAAGGCTGAGGTGTTCTTGAGGTCGTATGTGGAGGGAAGGTTCTTCAAGGAAACCTCAAACTCCTTGCTCAGCAGAGGACGGGAGTGAAGACGGAAGCTGAAAGAAAATCTTATGGATAATTGTTGCATACCCAAAAAGACTGAAAACAAGTGATTGTCTGCCAGATTGAAGTCGGAATGATCCATTTATACCCGTAATTTAAAATGTTAATTAACAATTCGTAAATTCACCCTGTAGCAGAAAGAAGTGAGAGGTCATCAGCTCCGTGGGACTGAGTCATGTGGTGCACACACAGATGGAGCATCCCTTCATCAGTCTACCTCAGGGGTCACCAACACGGTGCCCGTGGGCATCAGGTCGCCCCCAAGGACCACATGAGTCGCCCGCAGGCCTGTTATAATTAAATTTATTTTTTATACTGTCAAATTTGTGTTCTCATATTGAAGTTGACTCTTGACTAGGATTTGTTAACGGTTGGTCGGTGGCTCATGAAAATCAGACATTTTTCTCATGAAATGAAAGAAGTGAGCGTCTGAAAATGTAAACAATTGCTGAGATTAATAGAAATAAAGTGTTGAATATTGATATCATCTGTTTCCCACCTTGTTAAGTCAATGTGGATAATTACTGTGAGAAATCATGAACGTGATCAGTGTCTTCACATAGATGAGAATCATTTATCATTAATAATAATATATAACTATATAACCAACTGAGCAAATGTGTTATTTCAGAAGAGTGGATCAAGCTGGTAGCCCTATGACTCAGTTCCCATGAAGTAGCTCTCAGTTTCAAAAAGGTTGGTGACCCCTGGTCTACCTGACATTCACCCTGAACCTGGATGATCAGTAACTGCATAAGATCAAAATCAGTTAATGGTGCATCCAACCACCAGGGGGTGATCCAGGTGTGGCATCACGACGTCATATGTGAAAGTAATCATTCACTTTTAAAACCAATGTGAGAAACGATCTGCAGCCTCTTCATTATGAGGTATAAACGATGTCATAATGACATCTGTACTCACGTGTAGTATTTGCATGAGAGGTCGTGTGTGGTGTAGGAGAATTTGTCTTTCCTGCTGCGACTCTCTGCAAATTTCGATGAGGTGGAGTGTGATCCTCCGACGGCAAAACCGCCCAGTCCGGCAACGCTGAGGCCAACCTGAGTGACATCACGACAGGTAACGACAACAAAGAAAGAAGGTATGTTGTGTTCACTGCCACGAGTTATTTTAGAGGACGACCTAATCAATTGAAACGGTTTCATCAATGAGGAAATATTTAAGTGAATGTGAGCACTGAGGCTTTGAAGAGGAACGACGGTGAAAACAGATTTGTTAATCGAGTGTTGATATTCAACTGAAATTGTCGGGACGTGATGATTCTGGCCAAGACAAAATAAATGTAAATGATATTGGGGTTATGTCGGGTTTGGTCATGTCTGCTGTGATCAGCTTTAAGCTGTGGAGGATCTCCAGAGTTTCTTTCTTTCCGCAGTTTGTCTTCCACACATGAAGCAGCAGCAGATTCTCAGACAGGAGTCAGGAGAGGGTGGAGCAGCAGACAGAGACAGGAAGTGACGTATTAACTGCAGAGATCATGTGATCATGTTTACATCACCTGACACCGTCGTCCGCTCTTATCACCACAAAGACCGAGAATCTCCTGAGTTTACGAACCTTCCAGCTGACGCCCAGGGATGAGCTCGTCTCTCTCATCAGCGACTGACTTGACTCAAACATCTTACTGCTCAGACTGCGCCGACACTGCACCTGAAGACAGAGAGGATTTTGGGTAAAGCTGTCCACTTTAAAGAACTGTGTGATGTGTGAAAATCCTTCTTTCGCTAGTTTGACGATTCTTCACTGACCTTAATCCTCCAGTCAACGACTGACACCGGGAGTTTCTGCGTCTGAGGACAAAGAGTTCAGCATCAGTGAGTCCACTTAGCTGCTGTTAGCTTCTTTTAGCTGCTGTTAGCTTCTGTTAGCAGCTATTAGCTGCTGTTAGCTTCTTTTAGCTGCTGTTAGCTTCTTTTAGCTGCTGTTAGCTTCTGTTAGCAGCTATTAGCTTCTGTTAGCTTCTTTTAGCTGCTGTTAGCTTCTGTTAGCAGCTATTAGCTGCTGTTAGCTTCTGTTCACTTCATTAGCTTCAACAACCCTGTGTGTTATTAGTTCAAATCCATTCGGACATTTTCATTGATGAAACTCTAAATAAAAATGGTCGACATAACGACTCCTTAAAGTGAAGCCAAAACATCTCGATTGCCCCCTGGTGGCTGGCTACAGTATAGGTCATAAACTCCATCTCCTCCATGTTAGCCGATGAGACATGGACCAGACTAATGCTGACGGGGTTGGAATTTCGACCTCTGAGGTATAATGGAATGTAGCATAAGTAAGTACACCACTCAAAATGATGGCACCATCACAAGATGACAGCGTTCATATCCGAGATATCTTGGCTCAGTTTTTTCCGAAAGGAGACGGAGCTATCTTTGTCTGCGACATCTGAAATTGTAAAAAAACCTCGTAGAGGTTTACGTTGACCGTGACCCCAAAGAAATAGACTCTGTTTAAATTCCTTCTTCTTAATATGCTTCACAAGACCTGGATCCTAAAGTAACTTAGTCGTCATGAGCAGAGATGGAGAAAGTGTTTATCTGCACGTAGACGGAGGTGAGATGTGAACACGTGGTGTGAATGACATCCTCAGAGTCGGACAGGTGTGAACGCACCTGGTTGAGGAGGTGGTTGTCGCACACGGTGCAGTTCCCCTCGACTCCTCCCAACATGAAGTTCTTCATCTCCACCACACTGGCTCCGGTCATCTTCATCTTTATCATGTCAAAACCTTCGCCGACCAGATTGTGACCCGGGACGAAGGGAACCTGCTGGCACTCAGTGAAGGAGCTGGTCCGGCAGGCCAGGGAGGGGGGGAGCAGGAGGAAGAGGAGCAGGAAGGAGGAGGAAGACATCGAACAACTGAAAGAGATAAAGAGATGTTTTTCATCTGCTGACGAGAAAGATCGCTTTCAAATTTAAAAAAAATCGCTTTTAATAACAATTGAATCTTAATCAAAAAATGTAGCACACCAGCTAACAACCATCTCTGTGGCGCCCCCTGTTGGTTTGTGAGTTTCTGATCTGAAGCCTTGTGTTCAGAGCGTCTTGGTTTTTGAAACCAGAAGTAACCATATTTGGAGGAGTGGGGGGTGGAGCCTGACTGAGAGCTCATGGACACGCCCACCTACACCTGCAGCCTGCAACGATTGAACAGTACTAGCTGTCAATCACACTGTGGTATCCACCCCCCCACCCCCCCACCCCCCCTTCCATCCGGGGCTTCTGGTCTGTTTGACTCTAAATGATCTGAAGAAGAATCTTAATCAGCTGTTTGAGGACAATGAGACAAAAACTCCTGAGGACAAAGTTACTGACGTTATCAAGTGAGAGGAGACGTTTTCTATACAAACTACCAGAGGAGACGTTTCTATACAAACTACCAGAGGAGACGTTTTCTATA